CTTGCGCGGATCCTCGACCTCGCGGATGCTCAGGTTCTCCAGGGGGATGATCCCACGGGGCTCCTTGTCCTGGGAAACCCGGGAATTCCGGGAGAAATTCGGGAATTTGGGGAATTCCAGGGGGAATTTGGGGCGTTTGGGGGGAATTCCGGGGAATTTCTGGGAAATTTGTGGGGATTTTGGGGGAATTTTGGGGGAATTTTGGGGAATTTTTGGGATTTCGAAGAAGAATTTTGGGATTTTGGGCAGATTTTGATGGATTTTGGGTGGATTTTGGGGAATTTTGGGGAATTTTGGGTGGATTTTGGGGGATTTTGATGGATTTTTGGGGGGTTTTGATGGATTTTGGATAATTTTGGGTGGATTTTGGGGGATTTTGGGGAATTTTGGGTGGATTTTGATGGATTTTGGTGGATTTTGATGGATTTTGGGGAATTTTGGGTGGATTTTGGGTGGATTTTGGTGGATTTTGATGGATTTTGGGGAATTTTGGGTGGATTTTTGGTGGATTTTGGGGGATTTTGGGGGATTTTGGGGAATTTTGGGTGGATTTTTGGTGGATTTTGGGGGATTTTGGGGGATTTTGTGTGGTTTTTGATGGATTTTGGGGGATTTTGATGAATTTTTGTGCATTTTGGGTGGTTTTTGATGGATTTTGGATAATTTTGGGTGGATTTTGGGGGATTTTGGGTGGATTTTGGTGGATTTTGATGGATTTTGGGGAATTTTGGGGGATTTTGGGGGATTTTGGGAGGATTTGGGTGGATTTTGGGGGATTTTGGATGGATTTTGATGGATTTTGGGTGGATTTTGGGTGGTTTTTGCTGGATTTTGGCTGGATTTTGGCTGGATTTTGAGGGATTTTGATGGATTTTGGATAATTTTGGGTGGTTTTTGATGGATTTTGGGGGATTTTGGGCACTCACCGTGGTGTACTCGAAGTAGTAGAGGCAGTTGTCGGTGAGGATGAACCAGCGGCGCTTCCACGTCTTCACCCGCCCGCCTGCGGATTTGGGGAATTTTGGGGGAACTTTGGGAATTTTTGGGGAATTTTGGGAATTTTTGGGGAATTTTGGGAATTCTTGGGTGGATTTGGGGAATTTTGGGGGAAGTTTGGGGAATTTTGGAGGGACTTTGGGAATTTTTGGGGGGATTTCAGGAATTTTGGGGGAATTTTGGGAATTTTTGGGGAACTTTGGGAATTTTTGGGGGGATTTTGGGAATTTTTGGGGAACTTTGGGGAATTTTGGGCAGATTTTGATGGATTTTGATGGATTTTAGTGGATTTTGGTGGATTTTGGGGAATTTTGGGTGGATTTTTGGTGGATTTTGGGGGATTTTGGGGGATTTTGGGTGGGATTTTTGGGATTTCAGGCAGATTTTGATGACTTGGGGCAGGATTTTTGGGATTTGGGGGGATTTTGGGTGGATTTTGATGGATTTTGGATAATTTTGGGTGGATTTTGGGGGATTTTGGGGAATTTTCGGTGGATTTTGGGGGATTTTGGGTGGATTTTTTTGGATTTGGGGGGATTTTGATGGATTTTGGGTGGATTTTGGGTGG